CACGACATGCGAGTGTGGAGAAGAGCAAACCACAGACCACTTACTACAATGCAGTCTGAGCCCTTTCACATGTACAATGGAGGACCTTCTTATAGCGACACCAGAGGCACTTACAGTGGCCAGCTTCTGGTCAAAGGAAATTTAGTATAATGCCAAGTTTTTAACGTTGTGGGTTTTTTTATACATTATAACTGTACTCTCAATTCGCTTCTGACACAATAAAAATAAATAATATTGTGAGTTATGGAGAAAACATTTGCAGAAACATGTTGAACTGTTCTTTATTTGTGGTACAGGAGCCTTCTCTCTATTTATTCCATATTATGTCTGCCATTGGTACAAAATTATCAGAAAATTTGGTCCTGCTCAGGAACCCATCTTTGTTACCTGAAGTATATTTGCATAATCCTGATCATCCCGGGTTAGAGCACCAGTTTACCATGCCAGCTGGAAGGGGGATTATGGGAATTGCCATCCAAAATATTTAGCCTGATATAAAGCCACTCTTATTGTTTATTCTTTTCTCTTGTACCTTGCTCCTTCCCCAGTAGAGGAAACATGACTGGACTGTTTAATTTCACCACAAGGCTTCATTGTCTGAATGAATTTAAGTAGAACAGCTGTCAGGCTGAACTATTTATACCTTACAGCCCACTTTTTGTGAGCCTGAGGACAAGCCCTGTATCTTGTTTTAATTTTATGTGAAGCACTTAGTTTTTAAAAGGCAACGTCAAAATCATCATCATAAATAATACATAGTTTTATTGAGGATGTAATTAGATGCCTGGAGCGACCAAAAAATAATTGTCTATGTGTGCATGATTACACAATATTTGTGAACTTACATGTATTTGCATTCATTGTTTTCCTGTTCCTGATGATTACTTTAATACAGGTTGAGCATCCCTGTTCCAGAATTCCAAAATCCAAAATACTCCAGAATCATTCACACGGGTGGCTGTGATGTTTTAATGTACCCAAACTTTGTTTCATGCATAAAATTTATGAAAAATATTGTGTATGTGATTACTTTCAGGATATGTATATACAGTGTTCATGAAACATTCAACTCTTCTCATTAGTATTTTTTGCAATCCCAGCCACTCTTGGTGTTGCTTAGCCATATATGTGTGCCAGTTTGCATCTCTGAAATGTCAAAAGGTACAGAACTCTTATCATCCTGCCACGATTAAAAGTGCTACACTTTTCTTTCCTGAATCTTAAGGAAGCAAGAAGGAGCCTTGGGTACCACAGGCTCAAACTAGATGGAAAAACAAAGAAGGTAGTCAATAGAAATGTGTTTTATTTGCACTAACTAATTAGTTAACATTGTTTCAGCCTGGGTGAAAATTGTCATGGTTTGCTTGATTTGCTTGAGGACACAGAGGCTGAATCTACACTGCCATATATTCCAGATTATCAAATCAGTGTAGATAATCTAGATTTTATATGGCATTGTAAATGTGGCCACGATGATCAAATTGAACACTGACTATGGTTTTTATCTATTACATTTTCTTACACATATTTCACATCTACTGCTGCGTCAGAAAACACTACATACACATACCTTAATCTTCCTATTCATGGATACATCTTCAAAACCCTTTGAGTTCATATGAAATAAAAAATCTGAAAAGGCTTTGGTTGGTTTTCCAAACCAGCTGATAGTAAGGCCACTAGTACTACCAAAACAGAGGGATTTCTCTTATAAAAAGATGGAGTTGCCATGTTTGGGTCTCTACTCTGCCCTCATTCAGTGTGCACTAAGAGTATAGATAAAAACTATGGGCAAACCAGACTTGGATTCAATGCCTTGGTAATCTTGCCTAGGTTACTCTGGTGCACAAGGCAGAGTAATGTAGAAGTTAGCAATTAACTAAAAGAATTTCTAGGGAAGAGGGAAGCATGCAATAGATGGTAGAAGCAGAACTAACCTCTTTAGACTTTGCTCCTGTTCAGTGTATAAAGGACGCATATTGACTTTTCCAGACAGTTTCCCTACAAAAGAAGTATGGATGTGCATGACCTTGAGATCTGTTATTGAATGGCTCACCTGCAGCAGGTAAGAGAATAAAGAAATGAGGGAAACCAAGATTACAGTTGCTATATTGCATTTTTTTCCAAAACTGGGTATCTAATTTGCATATTATGCAAGTTATTATCATTATGCATATTCATCTAGTTTTTGTTTTAGTCATAAAAACTCATTTTTATTCCAATATATTTCAATTTTTGTACCATTTTTGTAGTAACAACTAATTTAACATAACCAGTACACTACTTAAAGTGCCGGACCTGCAACAGGGAGACCAAATTTCTCCTTGCTTGTGAAATGTAATATTTGACTTGGGCCATTATTACTACCTTTTGCCATATCTACCTTATTTAAGGTGTTGTTGTGGGGATTAACAGGAAGTAGGGGACATGCAAATTGGGCATGCACATTTAGAATGCAGTATAAATAACAGAACAGCAATACTGTCAACATTTTGTAATTTATCATCACTTTCAGTGGTATTTTAATTGGATAACTGTAGAAAACATTACCACTACTTTTTTGCTAATGTCAAAAAAGTTCAGATCCATGAAAATGCCACAGAAAGCCCTTGAGAATGACTGCTATTTGATTCACAGAGCAAAATGCAGAGAAAAGTAAGGACAAACAGCAGGAACTGGTAGGGAACTATATTGCATGATTTTCTCCAGGGATACAGCTTAAGTGTTTTATTAACACTAGGAAAAGGTTTAGTTTAACTTCCTTTAAACTATTTGACTTTTCATTATAATGTACATGCTAACCCATACTTCAGTGTTACGATGTCTATGCTGTCACTCAATTATTGCTTGTTGATGTCACTCAATTATTGCTTGTTGATGTCAGCTAAGGTAACAAGCAATGCTTGCACTTTGTCCATTTTCCATTCCCTCCTCCCACCTGAGCCATGAGCACAAACACCTGGCAACTCAGGCAATAGTCCACAGCTCTGATGAAGTGGCTGCAGTCCACAAAAGCACATGACAAATCAAATTAATCAGTTAATAAGGTGGAGAAGGGAGATAATATAGATTCATATTTTTTGATGCAAATGACTAACATGGCTGCTCGATTTAAAGCTTTGAAAGGTGTTCTTTCATGTGAGAAAAGAAGTTCCCTTTCAAAGTGATAGACCTGTTTCTTCCCTCCTTTCCCCACACCTGCTCCTTTCACTCCCCTTGCAATAAGTGTCCCTTTGCTTTTTTCATGCATTTCACCGCTTCTATCATTCACTCTCCCTTTCCTCCTCCTGCCTTTCATACCTCCATTCTGTCATTCCTTGTTTCTTGCATTCCATGCCCTCATCCCATCTCATCTCCTTGCAATGCCTCTCTCCTTTGCATGTTGCACGCCACTGCTTGCAGCTCTCCTTCACCTTACTTCATATATGAAAGGCAGGGCTAAAACGTCCTTCTTGCAAAGCAATTGAACAGGAGAGTGACTGAAGCTTTTGTCTCATCTCTTGACTCCTACAAGAGCTAGAGACTAGCTTTTCCTGATAAAAGCTTGGCATCCAGGCCAGGGTGGTGATCCAAATGGATAGAAGGTAACATGTCTAGAACCCAGATAAAACCTGGTCGAATGGGCGGTGTGGCAATCCTAGTCAAGCCTAACAAGTGTGGAAATCAGGTGGGGCTGTTGGTATTAATGGACTACAACTCCCAGTGTCTCTTACCATAACCTATGCTGGCCAGGGCTGCTAGGAATTGTAATCCTGTAATATTTAAGGATCTTAGCATCACTAGCTTAGCATAAGAGCAACAACTAAAAGGGCCAGTCTTCCCCAGAACATATGGATTTGATAGCTGGTTCCAGATGATTTTGGGACACCTTTTTGGCTCTCAGATGTAAGGAAGCCAAGAGCTTCACATAGGACAAGGAGTGGATAATGCATGGACCTTTAGATTTTGGACTGGTTTTGATGGTCTCATAGCTGACTGTGAGGTCCATTGGAGGGCCTCACATCCCCTACTTCTGTTATAAACAGGGAAGGAGGTCCAGTACAATATTAGTCAAGACTACACCAATAATATCCATGTTGGACTCAATCCAGTTGGCCTTTTGGATCATTTGAGAAGAGCCCTGCTTTGGCCAGTCTCTTGAGTTGCTAATCTTTCAAGAGCATATTCCCATCAGATACTGGCATAAAGTTTGTAAGGCAACATGGAACTAGCCCGAAACTTTAACTATGCAGCTCTTTGCATTAGCAATCTGAATCAGGAAGGTGGTGAGGATGTTTGATTGAGAGCCAGAGTTTCTTACAGGCATGTTTATAATCTTAGCATATTCAATTGGCAGGCAGAAATGATATAAAGTAGGAAGAGACCAGTCTAATAATGCCATCAATCTTGAGGAGAAGGAGCAAATATTTTGCAGGATTCACCTTATTCCTTCTCTTTCAACTCCCAAGGTACTCAACAAAGGTGTCTACTCCTGTACCTGGGTGTTTCAGCACACAGTACCATTGATGAATATTCCCTGATGTTATATCTCGTCTTGTTTTTATGTCTTTCCTCTCAAAAAGTTTGGTATTGTTTTATTTTCTGTACATTAAAGCCATCTTGATTTCCTGCTATCTTTGAAAAATGGGTGGGGGCAGGAGCAGGGGGGTGTTCTATGGATTTGAGTGTGTGCCTGTGGTGTTTGTGCTGTCTACTGGTAAGCTCCAGCACCAAACAAAGACCAGTAGAACAGAAGTCGGAATATGGTGGGAGAGGGAGAAATATTATGCTAGATAGTTTGTTCTTTGGACACCATATGGTTCTCTTTCCATGGCTGCTCTATACTTTGGATATATACTAAGGATAATGTCCAGATATGCTACTTTTTGTTTTACAACTGCTTTATTCACAGCGGGGTAATCCTAAAGCTCATGTATGTGACTGAATAATAGTACTTCTTTCTGCACAGGGTACAGAGAACCCCTGATCTCAATGTATAGCCATTCTCTATTGTCAATACGATGAATCATCTTGACTGCATCTGCCCAGGTTCTCCTGGGAGACTGGCTGAAAACCTGAAAAAGTATAAAAATGAGACTCATCCTTCTACAACATGGCAGAACATGGATGAAGTGCAGAGACCAGGTAAGAGAAATAGAATAGGACATAAGCCAGTGGTCCTCAATCTGTGGGTCTCCAGATGTTTTGGCCTACAACCGCCAGAAATCCTAACAGCTTCTAAACTGGCTGGGATTTTTGGGAGTTGTAGGCCAAAACACCTGGGAACCTACAGGTTGAGAACTACTGACATAAGCCATTGCATGTGAGAAATTTGCATCATCTAGTCTGAAGTAGTTTGCGCAAAATATCCCTAAATGCAACACAGAATAAAAATGTTCAAATAAAACAAAGGCAAAATTCAGCAGCATTAAAAAAAAGGAAATGTATAAACATAGAGACCAAGAGGAAACGTGGCAGACTTGCCTGGAGAATGCATTTTTGTTGTGCTGCCATGGAGCTGGCCCTATATGTGATGCCCACCTGTCAGTTTTATTAAGAGAAGCCAGAGAACGGAGCCCTGCATACTGAGGATCTCAAGGGATGTACAGGTTTATAATGGCAGAGACGATTTATAAGAAAACCTGCCCTAGCTTCCTTTTTACATCCAGAATGCACACTCCAGTCCTAAAGAAATGGCCTTCAATTGTTCCTGCCAGCTTTGTTAAATGGTCAGTCTGACTCATCTTTCCTATTCAGAATTATAACTGCTGGGGAGTAATGCATCTTGGGCTTCAAGGACACTCTAAGGTAGGGAATCAGGCCCATGATATACAGATTTCACCAATGTTTTCAAGGAGAATGCAACAAGACCACAATTTATTAAATACTACTCCAGATTCTCAGAATTTGCTAATGGGGGTAGTGAGAGATCTGTTGACCTTCTCCAGTATAAAAGGCTTTTGTGAAGACGTTGTCCTAGAATGAATATTAGTTTTGCCTTTCCTGGTTTGTCAGGTGGGATCCAGATACAACTTCTACAGTATTTTAGGACTTTCTCACATCAGCCTGCTGTGTTGTAGCAATTGTGTTATTGAAGCAAATGGAAACATTCCAGTATGGAAACAATCACTTTCACACTTCTCCATGTTGCTTTGGTCCTGTGGTCACTCTTCTGCATCAGATCACTAATGCTGTCTTCCTGTCCTTGTGTGTCTTTTAATTTTTAATATATTTTTACTGTGGTTGCCCAATTATGGCAACATGATTTAAAAAAAATAATAAAGTAAAAACTTCATCCTGCTTTGGGCTTGTGAGGGGCAGGCGAGGAGAATCATGCCCACTCATGCCACATGACTGTTGGAATATCATAACCTCAGTGGAAGGGACCCTTTGTTCCAGGGGCAGCATCACAACAATAGTGATATTGGGAGCCACTGGCTGGGTTTTCTTCTAAATAATAAAAGGTACTCCACTAATGACTGTCAATCAAATATTTATTACAGTCATAGACCAGCATAAGGAGAGTGGGGTACAGTCTTATAAAAGCACAATACATTAAAACCATTAGAATCTAACCTAAAAACTAAAACACAAAATACTAATTAGAAAATTATAATAAAAATAGAAGGAAATGGAAGAGGGAGAAGAATCTGAAGGGAGGGGTAGGAGCATTCAGGGAATATGAGAGAGCATAAGGAGGGAGGAGTAATGACTAAAAGGCAAAGCAGCAACGGGAGAGACATGATGTGAGAAGTACCAGCCAAACATGGTATTATCTTGCTGTCATTTTGATTTGTCAGCCTCATATGATAAACTCCTAAAGATTTTGATAGTGGGAAAAAGGTTCCCTTTGTAAGGACTAAGAGGATCCACTGAGGATGTGTCTTTTAAGTATTGTATAAGTACAAGCTTTGTAGGTACCAGTGACCCATCCAAGGTGCTCAACCTATTGTGAGAATAGGGTTCAGCCTTTGGATAGCTCCTTTCAAAATCTGATCTAAAGCTTAGGATGGACTCACTATCTCACAGATATGAATCACACCAACCATCATTGATTTCCTGTGTATAATTAATGGCAATGTGATGAGTGATAGTTTCTTTATTTATATTGTTCTGTGACTTTCAAGAATGCTTTAATTTTTTTGCAATCCTCCACTATACAAATCCCAGCAGGGCTCCCAACCAAATTTTCTTGCCGTTTTTGTCAACAACTGAAGTTTAATTATTCATTGGCAACAAGTAGTCAAAGGCATTCTTTTTTTTGCTGCAAATACATAATGTTGACAAACTGAGCATGCAAGCATAGATAATTGCTCAGCTTCCTTTGCCAAGAGCCCCATTGCCTATCCTATAGATGATGAAGACATCTGTGAAAAGGGAACAAACAAGGGTGTTGTGAGCATTCAAGCTAGGGGGGCTGGCAAATGTCCTGCTTGGATGCTACTGAACAGGAATGAGGAAAGAAAGGCCCTATTTACTTTTAATCCTGTAAGCCGCCGCCAACACCATTGCCTCCTGCTTTCCCTGGCCAGAGGCCCAGAAATATACTTAGCACAAGGAGGGAAGAGGCTGTGGAGTGATTCCCCGGGCCCTGGCAGAGTGTTCTCTTCCATCAGGAACTGGGATTGCAGAACAATATCTTCCAATATTGCACAGATGACAACTAGGACATGTGTAGCCAAGCTACATTGGAGTCTGGTCAAGATGGGAAATGTTATTAATGAGGAAGAAGACACAATCTAGAAGTTATGGCAGTTTTCTTTTGCCTGACCTTACAGGGAAGAGCAAAATTGTTCCCTTCTCTTCCCTTCTTGCTTGGCAAAGGAAGCTCAAACTACCTATTCGCTTTGAACTCAATTTGTAGTTACTGAATTAATCCAAGATGTAGTTGTGGAGTGGGAGGAGAGAAAAACTAGGAAATTTGAAAAGCAGCTCAAAAAGTGGGATTAATCAAGGACAGTTAATCACCTCTCAACAAAGGATTCCCCCAGGCAGTAACAAGCCACACCAAAAAAACTGTCAGGCCATTAAATGCCAATCAAGGTGGCCAATTGAAGCATTCACACCTAGCTCCAACAGACAAGAGTTCTTTCTCCCATCCTGGACATTTCACAGATACATGTATAAACCCAATTTTCCTAGTTTCCAAAAGACCTCACAACCTCTGAGGATGCCTGCCACAGATGCAGGTGAAACGTCAGGAGAGAATGCTTCTAGAACATGGCCATATAGTCCGAAAAACCTACAACAACCAAATCAGGGCTGTATCTGGCAAACTGGGATTGTTGCAAAAGAGGCAGTTGGCTCAGTTATCTATCTCTAATCCATACCAACATTCACTCAGAAACACTAAAATGTGCTAAACCCACAAGGAAGGAATTTAATAATGACAGAAATACTTGCTAAATGAAAGTTATTCGTAAGCAGAAGTATGAGTAAAAGTTAGACTGCATTTTTCAAAATCCCCATTCCTTTGGCTGGGGAAAGTAGTTTTCTACATCAAACATTATAAAAATAGCTGACAACAAAGGCATTGTTGAATAAAGTATTAAGAGTGTGCAAGACATCTCTTTTTAAAATTCGTTTAGCAAATTTCAGCAAAGCAATGCCAATAGCACTACTTATTTATTTTATTTATTTACTGTATTTTACCCTTCTCTATCTCACCTCGAAGGGGACTCAGAGCAGCTTCCAAATTGGCAATAATCCAATGCCATACAAACACAAGCATACAAATACAATATACACATATATTAAAATCAGAAAAATTAAAAAAAAATCAGAGTCTATCAATATATTAAAATTAACTATTAAAATCACACTAAACACCTTTATTGTGAAAGCCACACACATGCCAGGAATTTCAACTGATAAGACAATAAACTAAATAAAATAAAACTTGTTCATAGACTTCTCCAGCGAACGAGTGTGCCTTGAGGTGTATGTATACAAAATTACATGTTGTGGAAGTAGTGTCAACAATGTAGATACTGTTGCTTAGTAACGATGTCAGTAAAAAAACCTGCCAATCACATCTGACTCTCAGTAGGCTACTGTTCACCAATTATTTATTTGTATTGTATGAAAAGCATTGTATGCCAACTCCTTCGTTTCTAGCTCTTTCAAATCCACATGAGGAGATGGACCACCTCCAGTAGCCAAATACTCCTTTTCTCCTTAGAGATTATTCAGACCACCATTACAGTTTGTGCTGTACACACAGAGGGGAAAAAGAGTTATTTTATTCAAATGATTCTCACAACTGGCCTTTCAGGATCTTTTTGTCTTTTCCTTTATGAGGCTTGTACTTGCGTAGTTTTACAAATGACTGTGAGTGCATCTTAGCAGAGGATGTTTGTTGTTCACAGCATAGTAAAGACCCAAGGCACTTGGGCAAATCTCAGGCCATAAATATCTATGGATTATGATCTTTTATAGGTTTTAAAAGAATGTAATTCATATGTATCTGCAAATTCTGCAATTATCAGTAGTTTTCAAGTGAAATGCATATGCATTATGAACAGATGTGGCTCGGTTATAGAAAAGGTGCCTTTCTCATTTGTTTCATCCATCATTTTCTCTTCCTTCCCTCATTACTCACTCTCCCAATTTATTACCTTGAGTCAAGTCAACCTCACATTCTCTGACTTCCTTCAGAACCAAAAACTCATTATTCGTGTTAAGCTTGCATTTACACTTTACATCACGCACTTTATAATTTTCTCCAGTAACGGTCAAATGGCCGGGGAAAATTGGAGATGGTTCTATGAATCAGAGGAGTGGAACTATAAGAACGATGAAATTGATAGTTTGCCATCGGGCCAGGTTAATGATATGCTATATAACAGTGCAATTCTAGAGTGTCATGATGTAGAGAAAGGGGGAGGTGGGGAGGGGGAGAGTTCCAGTTCTCGGGGCCCCATAGAAGTTATGATGGGGAGGGGGAGATACGGGAAAGGGAGAGATAAAAAACTAATTCGGCCAATTCGTGAACAAATGCTGAGGAAAATTCCAAAATGTGCTCCTGACTTGGTAAACGTGGGTTCCAAGGTAGACGGTCCTCCGGGATTGAAGGTGGTGCTGTTGAATGCCAGATCTGTCAATGGGAAAACATCAATCATCCAGGATTTGATACTGGAGGAAAA